ACTGGTGCATCATCCAGGTGGGGCTGCACACTGGTGGTGGTGGAGGGGATCCCCGTTAGCTGTAAAGTGCTTTGAGTGGAGTGTCCAGAAAAGCGCTGTATAAGTGTCAGCAATTATTAATTAACTGCTTGTTACAAACTGGGCTTTACAGGCTGAATTTCCTCTCGTTTATGACCTTCCTCATGTTGATGGTGTTTAGCAGACTTTTACTCGGATCGTTATTTTACTCCCGTTAACCAGCCTGGTTAAAAAAACTCAAGTGTGAAGCCCCAGGCGATTCAGTAGGAGAGCTGGAGTGTTTGACAGTGTCAGCTCAGCAGCTGCTCCGCATGGTTGCTGCACTGTTGCTGAGCTGTGTGGGTTGCTGTGGGGGTAGAGAGGCGTTCACAGCAGCAGGGGGTGCATATAGTCCTGGAAATCAGGTTAGGAGCAAGACAGGAGCACAGGAGGGGGGAGTTCAATATTTTAATTAAAACCTTTAGACCCCTGGGGAAGTCATGGGCTACAATCTATGCTAAAATGTTTTGCTGTGATGGTTCTGTAGGGTGTCCAATGGGGTACCATCATTGCTGCGTTGTTTTTGCTTGCAAGGCATCCTTTGATCTAGAATGTGTTTTCCCTCAGTCTTGTCCCAGGAAGCCCTCAAAAGATCCAGGTTTTGTATTCAGCAAGGGCTCGACTGAAGGAGTGGAACTCGTAGCCATGCTCTTTTATTTTCAGTCTGTTTCTGCTCCAGAAGAATGTGGGGAATGCGGGGGGGAAAATTCCAAAGCCCTCAGCTACGAGCGGATCCCCAGAATGAGGACTGGAAATCGCTGATCTGAGAGGCTTAGCCTGGAATTCCACACTTGGCAATCCATTCGTGTTTCTGCACAGCTCCCTCTCCTGGGCAAACGATGTTACTGAGGCTCATTGTTAAGATGCTTTGTGACAGTTTTTAACACCCTTTATACTTTCTCGCTGGTTGCACAATTTTGGCTGGTTTGTTTTGTGAATGGGTGCAGGGTGATAGCAGTGCTTCGGGACGTTTGTCCCAAATTTCCGCAATACACTTCTGCATTCGTGCGCTCGTGTTGCCCTGCCCTCTTACCTCGCGTGTCTGTGATATGGCTGCTTTCCTAAACTGCCTCAGCGTGCGAGAGGAGGATTACTGGACCGTGAGGTTGGGCTGCTGAAGCTCTCTGCTGGATTCTGCTGTGTTTTTCGCATTTTGTTCTGTTTCAAGGTCTGGCTGTGATTTTTAGATCCAGGGTTTATTATTATCCATCACCGCCACCCTGTTGTCTCCCATCTGTGTGTGACGAATGTTTTCCTTTCTAGCTGTCTGAACAGCAAGCCCACCCCTGCTCCCCCACGAGCGCGCCTCTGATCTGCTAATCCAGGCACATCGTCTTCGCGCAAAGATGAATCTCATCATCGGACGTTGACGGTTTACTGATTCCTGAGAGGCTGTGCACGGCAGAATTGATTATTTTTTTAAGGGATAATTTCTGCGGGTCTCCAGCCCCCTCAGAGGTGCCCTGAAGGGGGATTTAACACCACAGGCGTGACCGCCGCCAGGGCGGGCGAGCTCTTCCTCCTTCTCAGAGCAGAAATGCTGCACACGAAGGCGGCCGATAGCCCTGGGAGATGTGTGCCGAGCCCAGCTCCTGTCCTCACCCAGAGCACCGGGCACGCCCCCAGAATTGCCCACCCCCTGCAGGGGCAGTGCAGGCCGGCGTGGCTCCGTTTGTGCGTTCGTGTTTATTGGTTCGATATCTGGTCAATTAACATTGACGTTTCCTGCCGGATTGACTCCCCAGCTGTGATGAATGACTTGCACGTTCTGTTAAAGGGATTTAACTTGATTCTAATGGATTTATGCGTCTCCCGGTCGGTGGGGGGCCATGGGGGGGCTGTGTGGATTTAGCATATGAGGCCCGGCGTGGAGAGGGGTCTGGACTTGACCGTTTGGGGCAACACTGGAGGCCAGCGGAGTGTCTTTTCAACAGCCACCCGCAGCCCAAAGAAAGTCAGGAGGAGTCCTGAAGGGCACTGGCAGTAATCCCTGAGTGCTCTGTACCTGTCTAGGGTTTTGTTTGCTCTGTGTGGCTGTTATTTTTGTACCTGGTTGGTTTTAATTGGTTTGAACGCCCTCGTGGGAGCCCTGGTTGTGACTGAAGGGAACGGAGGCACCAGCAGCCACGTGATGTTTGCTGGCCTCTGGTTTTCGGAGCGGAGACCGGTCCCAGTTGACACGTTCTCTGTGTTTGTGAGGTTTTTGTTGTTTTTCCCCCCCCCTCCACTCCCGTTTGCTCTTTGGAGGATGAAATAAATGAGCTGCGGCTGAGCCAGTGGTTCAGAAGCGACGAGCAGGCCTTAATAGACAGAGCTAGCGAGCGGAAACCGGTGAAGGGCTTTTCATTGAATTTGCTGGGTCCTGACATTTCTGAGACCGAGAGAGAGAGAGAAATTCGAGGTGTGGATCGATAATCTCCCCGTCTCTTCTCCTGCGCTCCCTCTTTTTATTTTCTCCGGCTTCTCTCTCCCTCCTGGCTGCTCTTTCCCAGCTTTTCCCCCCCTCTGTCTTCCATTTTCCTCCCTCTTTCCATCTCTTCTCCTCTCCCTTTCTCACTGTTCCCCCCTCCTCCCGTTTCTTATTCCCCGATATCCTCACCTTTCTCCTCTCCCTCCCCTCGCTCCAGTCTTGAGAGCAGAAGAAAGGTTACTAATGAGAGGCGTATCGAGCCCATTTGGTAGTTAGGAGCTAATTGATCCACGGATCTCTGTTCTTTTTCCCACAACCCCTTTGCTTTTTTTCCTCTCATTAACAAACAAGTGGGGGCTGTTTTGGCCTGTCGAGCTCATTTGGTTGTCCTTACCTTAGTCACCCATGGGTCCCGTCCAGCCGTTTCTTGAAAGAGGCCAGAATATCGGCTTCAACAACGTGGCTGAGTGGCTTGTTCCAGCCCCCCACAACCCTTTGGGTAAAGAAGTGGTTTCTCGATTTCATTATTAGTTGCTCTTCTTATCAAAGAGGAAGAAAAGGAATAAACCAGAGACACTTGATCACCTGGGTTTCCGAACGAACGCGTTTGGACAGTGGGATTCGGATCTGGGATTAATGCATTGACCGAGGCTAAGGGTGCAGCAGTAAGCAGCTGCCGGCTCTCGGGCGCACTGCGTATCCCTGCTCGTCACGGTTTTTTGCGCTGTCGAAGCAAGAGAGAAACGTCAGTATTAACCTCTGGACCCCCCCCACTGCCACCAGTAACGAGCTGTGGCAATCGGAGCCGACCAGCCGGGAGACGCTGGAGACATCAGAGCGCAGGTGTGGCGCCATGCTTCCAGCTAACCGGGCGCAGTGGTGCCCCATGGGAAAGGACCGTCACAGGGGATCTTGGGTAGGGGGGAGTTTTGGGAAAGCTCAGGAAAAAACCTGGGCAAAATACGGTGCACACCATCTATCCTTCCACTTTCTAACCACTATATCTGATTCAGGGTCGGAGGGAGCTGGATCCTATCCCTGCCAGCCGTGGGCACAAGGCAGGGTACACCTTGGCCGGGACGCCAGTCCATCCCAGGGGACACATGCAGATACAGACACACACACACTTGCTCCAGGGCCAGTTTTCCCAGACCCCAATTAACCTATCAGCATGCTCTGATTCTTGGGGAGAACATACAAACTCCCCACAGATAGAGCCTCAGGGAGCAGTGCTAACTGCTGCATCGCCGCGCTGCCCTGTGCACTTCAGTCACAGTCAGTAAGGAGTCTTTAATGAGGGACCTTCAGAACGGGCTTCCCCTGATTGTCCCTGAGATTCAGGGAATTTGCACAGAAAGTGCCAAGTGCCAGCTGTCCCTTGTTGATGGTTAGTATTGAACATGATTTGAGTCCCTGGCCACTGACGAGCACTGAACTCCTGGGTCAGGAAGCTGCGCCAGTAGGTGGCGTATGAGTGCCATTCACCCAAGATGAAAGACTGAGGGGGTCCGGTCTCCTGCCATGGGGTCCCCGGCGTCCTGGCCAAATTTCCCCCTGGCGTTTACCAATCATGGCCTCCTAATAATCCCCATCTCTGAACTGGCTTCATCACTCTGCTCTCCTCCCCACTGAGAGCTGGTGTGTGGGGAGAGGACTGGTGCATCATCCAGGTGGGGCTGCACTCTGGTGGTGGTGGAGGGGATCCCCATTACCTGTAAAGTGCTTTGAGTGGAGTGTCCAGAAAAGCGCTATATAAGTGTAAGCAATTATTATTATTATTGAAAATGAAAGCTCACGAAGGCACAGTGGGCTTGAGGAGTCTTTGTGGGCGAGCCAGGCAGTGCTATCCACTGTGGGCGCTTGCAGAGTCTGTGATGGAAAATGGAAAACGTGGCGGAATGGACCGGCCGAGCGCCCGAACGTCCTCATCTCCCCCGTCGTCTCTCGTGCGCGGGCTCGACTAATTGCATCGTGCCCCAGTTCATTTATGCCCCTCGCGTTTCTTGACAAACCGCAAGCTGTCTGGACTTCCAGGGCTCTGCCTGGAGCTGCGGACACATCGTTTCGGTTGCTGCTTCGGCACCATTTTGTTTCCCCCCGCTCTCGATGTTCGCTGGCACTGGCTTTTAGGGGAGCCCGTGAGCGAAAGTAATGATTTGGGTGTGTTAACCGGATCCTGTTGTGGCTGGTTGCTGGTTTTGAGGTTTGGATGTGGGTCGAACAGGCGCTTGCTGTTGTGTGAAGTAACTGTTCTCCCTCTGTTTTTCTTCCCCTTCTCTCTGCTCGTCTCCCGTCTCCCGTCTGCCCCCCCTCTCCCTGCCAGAGAGCCTCTACCGGCTGGGCCACCCTCGCTACACCGCCCAGAGCAGCATCGATGGGCTGGAGGACATTGAGGTACGACGCTGCTCTCACTGTGTTCCCAGGTCTCCATTCAAACCCACTCTTCCCCCTTCGAACATGCTCAGGGAAAATCGGATGAGCTCTTGGTCTTGAACACTTTTGAAAGATGCTGGATGCCCCATGCTGAACCCTTAGCCTAAACCTTAACCTTGAACTCTGACCTTTACGGCACCCACTGCATGCTAACCCCTGATCCTCAGCTCTGCTCTTTTCTCCATCTTCGCACTATGGACTTGCAGTTTTAAATAGTTTGTCACTATGCCGATGTTAATGATGAAAAGCCACCAACGCCAGCACATCCACCTGTCTGGATGTGTTAATAGCAGCATCTGTGAAAGTGTCACAGTTTGTGTGCAGTGGGTGCTCTATTATCTCTGCAATTCAAACAGCCATTAGTGCTCGTTAGCAGCCTGTAAAAGAGTGATGACCAGCTCATGTTCTCTAGGCCAGCAGTCTGGCAGGTTTTATATAGCTGTCTTTAAATCGACAGCCGCATCAAGCCTGACAAAACCTGTTCTGCTGGTCTACTTAAACGGATGATTAGGTCAATTAGTACATTGTGGAAATGAGCACCACAAGACCCTGCAGCCCTGATGATGGCGGGTTGTAAATTCTGCAGGGGGAGATGCACAGTGTATTGATCCCCCCCCCAGCCAGAGCCCCTCCAAATGAAATTGAGCACGCCCTAGAGTTGTCCACCTATCCTGTGCTGTATCTGGGGCTACACTCCAGTAGTGGGCGAAGTGGGGCTCCCATGTGTCAACGGCTTTGGGATCCGTTGCGAAGAATAAAGGGGTGATTGCTGTTGTCATTGGCAGAGCGTCGTGTGCATATCCTCCCTGTGCTTTTGGGGGTGGCGGGGCCCCTCGGACGGCCCACCCAGCGTGTTCCCTCGCCCACTCTCGCTCCTCTCCTTCCAGAGGAAATGCAAGATCCACGTCCTCCTCCTGCTCCTGCACGGGGGCAACATCCTGGACACCGGCGGAGGGGACCAGAAGTCCAAGGTGACAGACCTGAGCACGCTGAGCACGGTGCTGGAGAAGGTGGCCCGGGCGCACTTCCAGAGCGCCGCCGAGCACATCCTCATCAGGCTGGTGCCCTGCCCAGCCGTCTGCGCCGACGCCTTCTCTCTCGTGTCCAAGTAAGCGTGCGCCGGGGCCTGGGGAGAGATCGGGGGGGGCTGCACAGAGATCGGCCGCTGGGAGAACTGGATTACCTAGTGGAGGGACAGAAGAGGTGGCATTCCTGGGATCTTGGAGATCCCAGGGAACCCGGAAAACTGAGGACATTGGGAAGCAATTTCTACAAATTCCAAGGAAATCTAGCTTGAATTCAGTGGGAATTCTTTGCACTTTTTTTTTTAGCACCCAACAAAACGATACCTATTGTCAGCACTAGATCAGACCCCCGTGTGTGTGGAGCATAGGCGTTGACCAATCTCAAGACCCATAGAGATGGGAGGAGAAGGCAGATGACGTCTGCACTGAAAGCAGGCGTGTGACTTTTGCACAGGGTTGAAATTGCCGGATGAAAGGTGGGTCTGGGCCGAGGGGAGTTTGAGCTCAGGAGCAGGGTGGGAGCACCGATTCCTTACTGGCGGTAACGGTCCGTGCCATGTTCGGTTCTCCCCATTCCCCTACCGTGAGGTGGTGACAGGCCGGCGCAGTCAGCCGGACAGCGTATCGGTTGGGGCCACTCTGAGGGTTCTGCACTCAGGTCATCTTGCATGCTTCCTAGCAGAGAACGGATGCCGGTCAAGGGCCCTGACGTATAGCGCTAATAGCCCTCGTTTTGTGTCCCCTTAGAAAAAAGCAGATTTATATACCTAGAAAGTGCAGCAGGAAAAAATGCGGGGAAGCATCAGGAAAATATGCCAGGAGCACAAGAGGGAGAGCTGGGCCATGGTGAGGTCACAGTGAGGCAGAGCAAGGGCCTGTGGGATAGGAGGCTGACAACGTGTTTGATGACGGTCGGGATCAGGAAAAAAAAAAGAGCGAGTCTTAAAGCTGAATGTTTAAGCTGAGCACGAGTTCCCTTTGAGCAGTGGAAGGGAAAGGTTAAACAGGAAAATAAATAATTACGGCATTATCTAGAATGTAACATGCACCTTTTAAAAAGGATAATTATAATAATTAGGCTGCGGCTGACATTTGTTATCCTTTCAAGACTTGTGCAGTATTAAGCCCATAACCTTTGTGTGTGCTTCCATTTTTAATCGTACATTTAATAATGTGAAAGCTGAGGAGACAATACCTTGGGGTACAAGGAGAAGAATAAGAAGAAAGCCATGCATTATGATGGTGCGTTGAGGTAACAATGGGACTATTCTGTTCTTTTCAGTAGTTCTTCTCTGCTCCATTTATTTCATTGTAATCCATGAACTTTAATGTGGCTTTGATTGTTGCTGTGTTCTTTCAGTTATTCTGAAGGGCTGGTTACAGCTGTCTTATGAAGACAGTGGAAAGGTCTGAGATGGAAACTGCAGTTACATTGCGCGGCCACAGAGTGGTGCTAGTGGCGGCGGGAGATGAATGTTAGGGGAATGAAGGGTGCTGTTCACAGAGCCCAGCAGAATTCATCGGGAGTGATGTGCATGGGTGATCTCTTCTAATCTCTAATCTCTTCATTTTGTATTAAAGCAGCTCATCACTTCCAGAGGCCTGGTGGTGCTGTGTTGGATCAAAAAAATATCTATTTATTTTCAGTTGTTCTGGGGCTGAGTGACAGCGGTGACAGTCAGTCACGAAGAGATTTAAGATCTGTCACATCTGGCATCATCTTGGCACACTGCACTCGGCTCTAAAGCCCATCAGCTTTTCAATAAACCAAGGGCAGCCTGAGCACCTGAGCAGAAACTCTTCTTTAAGGCACACAGTGTTTCAGTCTGCGTGTGCATGCCTAGTTATATCGAATAGTCTTATCTTATAAAGCTCTTATTTATACTTAGAATTCCCAGTGCCTGGGAATGTGAGTGGGTAGGGGTGAGAGGTCAGAGGTCAGTTTGTGATGGT